AAATATATTAAAAATTAAAAATATAAATAATAATATATTGGTATATACTCCCCATTAAAACTCTCTTTATCAAACCAATATACCAAAACTAGTTTTTTACAGGGTATACAAAAGTAATTTATTGCGCATTAAGTAGATTACTGTTATTGTTTTTCGCATTTCATGCTGAGCACATTAAAGATGACGCAGAGCTAATGTGTGCCCGATATCTTATGCCTAGAAATAAATTATAATATCTCTTATTCGGAAGGGTGCTTAAGTGGTATCAACCTGGCTTAGGCTACCTGCCCAGCCAGCCAACGAATTCTCGAAATTTCTCCAGTTTCCGCTGTCCGCCCCGTGCGGAGACCTGCTGCCATCGCTGCTCCACAATCAGACGCTCCTCCTCGTCGAGGGTGTTCATATATCGCTTGAGCTTCTTGCCAAAGGATTTGAGCAACTGCGTCGAGCGCATTTGGATCGTGCGCTTCCAGCGATCGAAGCCCGTGCGCTGCAGACAGAGGGAAATCAATTGCACCTCAATGCTCGATGTCTTCTCGGCGGCATCGGCGTCCAGGTAGATGTCCACGATTTCGTAGAACAATTGCAGCGCTGCCGCTGTGTAGTTTCGCTCGTGCCGGAGGAACACCTCGAAGCTGTTCAGGTAGCTGAGTATGATGGGATTCTGTGAGTCCAGCACGAGCAGATCGTCGACCACGCTGTCCACCAGCTCTGTGGCATGCTCCATCGCACGCTTCGTGATGGCAGCCAAACTGTGCTCCGCTTGGGCTGTCAAGCGGCTGCGCCCAAGATCCCCATAGCTGGCCACCAGAGGGAGCTGTGGAGCAACAGATTCGTCAATGGCACAAACTTTTGATCTACGCACAGTTGACAGCTTACGGGCGATAGCAGGAGAAGCAGCCAGCCGTACTGGATGAGTGGATGACTCCGGGTGTTCATGGTGTTCACGGTGACACCTTGACAGTTGTTTGCCAACTGAACGTCTCAGAAACGGGCCACGACCACATGGCCAGGCAGATAGCCTTATCATGGGCCAGATAGATAGTCTTATCCATGCTAACGAATTGCCTACAGCTTGACATGACGATGACACACGCCACGCCCATGACGACTGATAATGTCCCATTGATAATGGGAAAATGTGAATTCAAATGCCTGTAATTCATTCGATTTGAATAATCAAGAAATAGATAAAACAAA